AACACTACCTAGCGTCTGTTGGCCATTGATAAGATAGAACTTTGTGGTTTTAAGACGCCAAGCTGCAGCTGCCCTTCGGGGTTCTCTGACCTAGAAATTCCCCACCGTGCTGGCGAGTGACATCGCTTAGTCCTAAGCCCTCTCCCCTGGGAGTTCCTTCACCCTCCTCCCTTTCTGCATGGCGGCCCCCTTGCCCTGAGTCTCTGGAGGATCTCATTCATGCTGTGTGAGACTTACCTTCTCATGCAACCACCCAGTAAAGCTTGTTGTGTCTTGCTGCCTCCTGTGGTCATATCTTTTTCCGAAATCAGCCGCCCAAACCCCCAAACAAACCCCCTACACAAACATACCTGGCGCAACGAAGATTTCTTGAAAGCCAATATATGAACCTTTCGAACTAAAGATTGACTCAACATTACCTTACCCCCTTGGTACTCTTTATCCTTTCCACGTTTTGGATGCCAAATAGTTGTGTACATTTTAAAATGTGTATATTTATGAAGAGCTTGTGTATGATGTAGATTTGTCTGATTTCATGTATGTTTGTCTCTTCTGTTTATATATGTTACTAAGAAGAATTATGAAGCTGTTTCAGATTGCAGAAATCGAAGACAAGGTTAGGTTTTTAATAAAAGTAATTATAATGCTTAAAATATATTGAACACTTGTGTCAGGCAGTGTGCTAAACTCTTTACATGCATTATTTTATTTGATTATCACCACAACAAATGAGGCTGGTGCTTTTATTTATTCACATTTTGTGGGAGTAGAAAGTGGGCTCCAAGAGACTAATTGCCTCACTTAGAATCACATCGAAGATTGCAGAGCTCGGATATGAATCCAGGTTTTCAGATGCCTTTGCCCATGACCTGCTCTTATGCGTTACTGCTCAATAAACGAGAAGGTTTTCTATAAGGACACACACGGAAGTAAGCAAACAGGTGCAGCAGGCAGAGAGGAAGAGGGAAGATAATTCATCAACATTCAGGATTCAATAGCCTTGTTTGTAGTTCCATAGCTGCTGTACAGGCCTAACACAATTCTGCTGGTGCCCCATGCAAATGACTGAGTAACCTGTCTCTGCCTCTCTCAGCTTCCTCTTACCTTTCTCCCCTTGCCTCCTGTTTCGCCTGTGGCTTCAACTGCCTTGTGACTCTGTGACTTTTTGCATAATGGTACTTCTGTTTCTACATCATTGTCTGACCTCCAGATTCTTCTCTAAATATCTCCCAGTTACACTCCCCTAGACTGAGTAGGTGCTTGGGTTGCCCAGCTCCATCACTAGTGAGAGCTACATACCAGGGTACCTCACCTTGGAGGCTCATGGCCAGCTCTCAGTTATCTGCCTTTGGATCAGGCACCAGACCTGGATCAATCAGCTGGAGCCAGGATCACATGTGCAAACTACAGAAATTTTGTGTAAGACCCCACAGAAGGAGGCTGTAAGTGGAACTTAAACTCATAGCCTTCTTCAAGGGGACAGAGGAAACCGCAAAGTCTTCATGGGAGCTGTCTGGCAAGATCAGTGAGATTTTCAAAAAGATTTCTAGTGTGTTTATTTTGAAAAATTTAAGATCATATGATAAACCTTCAGCAAATAAAAATATTTGCTAAGAGTAGTTCTTAGCAATGAAAATCCAAGTTATGAAATCTACACATACTGGGGAAATTCAAACATACTTTATTTCTTTGCAGTGTCCTTGATTGGATCATGACATAAAATTTAAAACAAATTGTTAGGTACAACATAGAGCTGTGCACAACACTGAATTAGTTTTCTTACTGTTCTCCCGTATTTATAGACATTTACTGAGCATATAAGAAGGCAGAATTTTAAGCTTCCATACATTATCTGTTAGATAATAAGTGAAATAGAGTCCTGTATATTTCTCTTCTGGTCCTTTAGAATCTTTGTATTCATAGTGTAGCAGATACTCAATAAATGGCATTGCCTGATTAGTCAGCCCTGATGCCAGTTGAAAGAAAAGAAAAAGTCAAGGAGTCTTTTCTATAAACATAGAGCCAAGGAGAAGTAATGTTATTTTTTGATTATCTTATGTCTTCATTCTATCTTTTTTGGTCAGAATAATGGATTGCTATTATGACATTTTGTGTCATCGTGTCTTGTTTGTTTCCATTCACACAGTGTGTTAGCTGTACCTTTCATCAGTGCAAATGTAAATATTCAGGAAGAAAATTGCTTTGCTCCGCTTTCAGTTTATTTTATTTCGTGAGGGTTTCAGTACTTCATTTGAAGTTTAGCCCCGTTTTAATCCTTGTACTTGGGATGTCAGGCTGTGGAACCCTAGGTAAGTTGATGAAAGACTACAGAACAAAATAAAGGGGCATATGACTAGGGAGCATCAATCCTATTCATGGACTTCCTCCTTAGTAGTTGAATTTTAGAAGTGACCTCCATGTCCTTTGAGCTCGCAAGAACACTGAGCCTTGGAGAAATTAAATGCCTTCGTCCCCATGGTCTCTCAGCTGGCTAATGGCTTAGTACTGTAGAATTAAAAGCTAGTAGCCTTTTGATGTTTTGAAGTACTTGTATAAGTCATAAATCTGAGCCGAGAAGTTGATTTTATGTATATGACCTGTGAACTCAGTCTCACGGTTATTCTGTGCACACACATGATGTCTTACAGTTAGCTTTAATACGGTAAATCATTTCCAGAGGTGACCAGCTGGTGAAATCAGTTAACAGTATGGCTGTTCCTCTTCACTTTACCAATTACCAGAAAAACTACTTGTGATGTTTTATTCAGGGCATTTCGACCGCATTGTTTTCTTCTTCTTTCCTTATTTTTAACTCATAAAAATCCCGTGGGATGAGGAACCCATTTTGAGAAACGTGTCACAGCAACTTTTGAAATGTAGGAAGCTAAGCTATTAGTGTCAAATTTTCCCTGGAGGAAAAAAGATAGGGAAAGTTAATATATACTACAAAGGTTACTTCAGGAGGTTCTGTACTAGTGGTATGTTGTATAAATGCTAATTTTTGACAAAGCAACCCAGTCCTCTACGGGAAAGCTGATGCTATCATTGAGCCACTAATAGTATACGGCACTGGTTTCCAGTCGAATTTGCAGCTGAAACAAATCACCATAACATTTTTTTTCTGTTTTGATGTACAGTGTATTCCAAAAGCTTTTGAATTTATTAAACATCTTTAGAAATTTACAGAAATGAAGAGTTTACTAAATGTAGTACATTTAGCAAGAAAACCAAATAAAATTCAGATATAATCTCAGGGTGTCTTCATGGATTTCATATACCTAGTCTTTCAGAGGCTCATCGGTTTCTATTTTTTGGGATGTGAATATAATTGGTTTCAATATAGGTTTAAAATTCAATAAACGTGTGATTACCTGCCATCTGTCAAGCAGTGTGGTAGGTGCAGAAACACAGACCATGTTCATACATTCCTTACATACACCCTGTGAGGATTTATGATCCCAAATTTTCAAATAAGGAAAGAGAGTCTCAAAAACTGACTCATGTTTAAGTATGTGACTAATCAGTGACATTGTAGAGATTTAAATCAAGTTATCTGACCCTCAAGTCTATTAGACTTTCCAATAAAATTAATTTATAAGAAGAAAATCTTGAAAACACTGTCTTCTACACATGCTTTTGATAGTTGGAAGAACAACAATCTGATTCATTCAAAGAAGATTCTGCTGCTGACTCATTAAGATGATGCAGTGTGTTGGTTAATGTCGTGGGCTTTGGGGTCAGGCCAACTTGGAAATGAACCCTGGCTCCGTGGCTGTGGAGAAATGTTAGGACTTTGAGTAAAGTTGTGGTTTTAACTTCCAACCCTCAGTTTCTTCATCTACCTAATGACAATAAAACATATTTTCATAGGGTTGTAGCAAGAATTGAGTACAATTCTGAGCACTGTAGCAGAGTACTCAGCAGATGGTATGGATTCTTGCTAGTTATTAGTAATCGTGGTGAGATAGGAAGATTAAAGAAATTGGATAAAAAAAGATGCTCACTGTTGTGTTTAGGGACATATAAAGACTTTGTTATTAATAAAAATGTGTTGATCTCACTAAAGATTTTTAGTGATAAACAGCCCTTGAGTAATAGCCGTAGCTTTATGTGATACTCTTTAAGATAGTTTAAAACATGGAGCCAGAATAGAACATTTTCAGATTATGTCCATATTTTGATTACTGTTGCTAACAGGGTAGAAATAGTGGCATGAATAAGTTCTAGACAGTTAAGAGTCCCCAACCATTTTTTAAGAAATATATACAAAAATAATTATGTATATTCTTTGAGTCATTGAAAAAATTTATATAAGTAATTTATGACAGAGAGGTTTGTCTTTTAAAAATATTGCTGGTACGTGGACTGTCAGTTGGGATTATGCAGAATCAATCTTCAGTTACATACATATGCACACATGCATATCTAACTAAAGATTGATTATATTAAACTGGAATGTTTCAAACTCTAGGCATAATCATAGAGTTTCATTTTGTATTTCCTATAGATATCTAAAAATACCTTTTCATATAGTCTTAGTCAAAAAACATCAAAATGTTTAAAGTGATAACCTTGAATATTTGTCTGTATACGATGAAGTCAACAAAACAGGAAGAACCTTGTGCAAAAATAAGAATTTTAAATATAGCACCTTTGCAGATTTAATCTGTTATGAGAATGAACTAGATAAATGTAGGAATGGTTTATCGTTTTAGGATAAGCTAAATTCCCGTTGTGGAAACTGACTTGAAAGTGATATTGACATTAAATAGGGTTAAATGGACTAAAAAAAGAAAAATTTTCATATGTACACATAAAGGGTAATGTATATGTGTATGTTTTAGTTTATATTGTCATCACCCTTTCAATTAATCATCATCCTTTTAACTAAGTAGTGAATTTTAATGTTTTAATCTTTAGCTTTTCAATATATGATCTATTTTGTAGCAAAAAACATCTCAATTCAAATTATAATCCCATTTCCATTTTTTTTCCCTCAGATGATGCAACATGCTTGGAATAATTATAAAGGTTATGCCTGGGGATTAAATGAACTGAAACCTATATCAAAAGAAGGCCATTCAAGCAGTTTGTTTGGTGAGTAGAATGTGGTTTGATTTCTTAGTGACAGTAACTTCTCTCTAATTGCCTGAGCTTGTGAGTAGTAAAGTCTGTGTAATATGGTGACCCAAAGGCCATGTTGCTAGGAAACTTGTACACCTGATGGAGTTCTCTGTAAGAACTGTTCATACTGTGTCCTTCAGATAGAGCAGTGGCTGCATGTTAGAATGACCTTAGTAACTTTAAAAAAATACTGATGCCTGAGCACACATCCAGAGATTCTCACTTAATAGGTATGGGGTACAGCATCAGGATTTCTAACTCCCCAGGTGATTAGCAGCAGATGAACATTCGGTGGGTTGCACTAACGGCTTCCTATCAGGTAAAAGCTCTGTCTTTATAGATAAACTGGCCAAGGCAACCAGCTGTGGTGATCTTCACTGTATCTCAGCTGTGGTTGTAGGTTTCTCCTCTTTGTACCACAGAAGAGAAAGTGAGGATGGATTAGGCCAGTTATTTGAACTTTCATTATCTTTACTGCATGCTTTATTGCATTTGGTCCTCACAGCAGCCCTGTGTGATGGGTACTGTGGGTATTAACAACATTCCCATTGTGGAAGTAAGGAAGCTAAGTAAAAGAAGGGTTTGATAGATTCTTTGGGTCATAGATCTACCCAGTACCCTTCCTATTATACTTGATTTCTTTCTAATCCCCAAAATAGAATGGAGTAACAGGGTTACTACTTCTTTGTTTTAGATCTTCTTTAATTTTTGTCAAAAAATATTTAATAGTTTCCTATATATAGGTCTTTCACATCTTTTTTATTAGATTTGTTTCTGATATTTGAATTTTTTAATGCTCTTGAGAATGCTATCAATTTTAAAATTTTATTTTCTATCAATATTTTTTGCCAGTATAGAACACCACAATTGATTGTGTATATTGATCTTGTATTCATCAACTTCATTAAATTTGTTTATGAATCTATTAGTTATGTATAGATTATTTTCTATATAGATAATCTTATTATGTCATCTGTTAAAATTTTATTTCCTTTTTGTCTTTCTTTGTTTTTTTAATCTCCTTTTCCTTTTGCCTTACTGAACTGCTGCCAGTATTAAATAAAATTGAAGGTAGTATAATAGCAAAAAAAAAAAAAAAAAAAGAGAGAGAATCTGCATTTTCCCAATTATTAGCCATTAGGGAGCTCTTCCTCTAAGAATCTAAGAGACTGCTTCCTTCTCATGGTTTTTCTTACCAGTTATATTGAACCTTATTCTCTTTCCCAGGGGGAGTAAGACTGGTTACTTCGTTGACTTAAAACAATGTTAATGAACATAAAAAATTATCTCAAGTATTTATAACCTCCCAGTTCCACTTTAAACAGAAAACTAGAACTATTACTTGAAGATTTCAGAAGTAAAAAAGATTTCCAGTAGAACCGTACCTTAAAGAGAGAGATTTTGTGCTTGACCAGTTGTACCCAGTGTAAAACTAAAATATAAGAAATAAAAATAATTACTTAAAGTTCTTAATGACTTAGAAATAAGATATCAATTAAAATAGGAAGCTGATACCATATTTTAAAATGCCCGCTTTAAAATATTCCCTCCAGTTTCCCCCCGAATCCATAGTTCTATCTCAAAAAAATTATATTTTTTCAAACCTGAGTATCCTCAGGTTTTTTTCCTTATCATTAGATAAGATTTAGAATTAGTTTATATATTTTTGAAAATCAAGTATTTTAATATTCTTTTACTTGTTTTCTAATGATAATTTCTCAATTTGGCATTTGAAAGACATGTACCAATGAAATAACTTCCATTTATATTTATAGATTTGATTGTGTATTGTCTAAAACACTAATTACGTGTAGAAAGTATAGTGCCCAGTCTTTTAGCAGCGACTCATTGTCACAATTGTGCAGGGCACCATGAGGCATTTGGGGATGAACAAGAGATGACTTCTCTGTTCTAAGAAAGTTTCCAGACTAAAAGAGATGCACATAAATAATTTTAATACAAGAGAGAAAGTGATGAGTGCCAGAACAACATGAAGTCTCCGTGTCACTGGAATTCAGAGAAAATAAACCAGAGTCAGGACTGGCCAGGCTAGGGGATTGGGGGTGTGTTAGCATCAGTGAGGGTTTCATAGAGTAAAATTTCATTTTAGAGTAATGGCTTCTTAAGGCTGTCACTAAATAATTTTAGATGTAATTATATTTAGAGTTTAGCATAGGTGCACTTTGACGTAATTAAATTAACAATGTATATGTTGCTCCTTTGTTTTAGGCCTATTCTTTTCTTGCTAGAGAATGCAATTACATTTCTAAGAGAAATTCCTAAGAGATTTATTTTCTACAACACAGAAGAAACTTTAAAGATAAGTGTATCAGTCTATAGGGTGTAATAATTTTTAGTCTGGTTTTATATTTTCTTTCACTGAAATAATTTTAGACTGTGTTCAGTATTACTGCTTATTAATAAATTCATTTCTAAGAGAAATTTCTAAGAGATTTATTTTCTACAACACAGAAGAAACCTTAAAGATAAGTGTATCAGTCTATAGGGTGTAATAATTTTTAGTCTGGTTTTGATACAGTTTTATATTTTCTTTCACTGAAATAATTTTAGACTGTGTTCAGTATTACTGCTTATTAATAAATTCAGTATCACCTTCTTCCTTTCCTAGATATGATCAATTTGCATGAATGTATCTATCCAGAATATTTTACTGAATAAATATTTTTCTGGTATTTTCAGGTAACATCAAAGGAGCAACTATAGTAGATGCCCTGGATACACTTTTTATTATGGAAATGAAAAATGAATTCCAAGAAGCAAAATCATGGATTGAGGAAAACTTAGATTTTAATGTGGTGAGTTAAAGAAAAGTTGCTAATTCAGTCCTTAAGTCTCAATTAACATGAGTAAATTCTGCAGGGGAGCAGATTATTATATTGTAATGTACTCTAGCAAAAAGAAATAATGTAATTTTAAAGAGTAAAAATATTATCATACTATATTCTTAACTTGCTCTCCTTTGCTACACAAATGTATGCTTTTGTTTTTTGGCAAGTTAAGGGTAAAGAAAAAAATTAACATTCATTGAGACCTACATATGCCTAATATTCTTGTTCGAGTCCCACAACAACCTTATGAAATAAGTATTATTTTCACGCCTTTATGGATTAGAAATCAGAGTCTCAGAGACTTACTCCAGACTGCACAGCTAGTTGTGTGTCAGAGCTATGATTCCAACACAGGTCTGTGTGGCTGCAGCGCTTACGCTTTTATGCAGTGCCACAGTGCAGCCAGCACCATCCACTTTCCCATAAATAAGGCACTAAACTTTGTTGAGCTTATCTCCTATCAGTAAAAAGTGTTTCCCTCACTCTTAATCAATCTCTCTCTCTCTCTCTCTCTCTCTCTCTCTCTCTCTCTCTCT